CAAGATCCACTTATTATATTAAGTCTTGTTAGGGAAAAAAAAAAAATATATATATATATATATATATTAACAAAGAAGATTATGGACTAGAAAAGCTCCTGCAACAGGTGGATTAGAGCAAGTAGCATCAAGCTACATTACACAATTTAAAATATTAATATTACACTTTTACTTAAAGCTCACTTCAACTCGCTCATCACTTTACTCGACTATGATGAGCGAGTTGTCATCATAGTCCGTCATTGTTGATACACTTGGAGCAGAATGGCATCTACGCGATTGTGGTGTTCTGTTCTTGGGTGTAATAACGAACAGTCATTTTGATGTTCCTAAATCCGAACCGCGGCTGAAGACACAGTGGTTGAGTTTTGTTTTCGAAGGGAAAATTCCCCAAGAGCAACGTCAATGCTTTCAATCATTTCTCACCACTGCTCCTGAAAAAAGAATCGGTGGCAACTATTTATGTTCCCTCACCTCCAGAAGAAGTAAGTGTAAAGTTTTATTAACTTTTAACGTTATATTCATCTTTGCAAATCGCGAAAAAAAGTTTTTCATGACCATTAAGTTAGTTTTAACGTCAATCTGTCAATGAACTAACATATACATCAGTAAACATAGCACACTTCTCTACCGTTACCCTGCCAGTGCATACAAAAATAGATCAAAGTGACATTACGTTAACCAACCATTCAGAAATGTCCTGTTTGAGCCTTCTTGGGGCCGTCATCTTGTTCCGGGTCCGACTCCGGTTCAAACTGATACGATTGCACAGATGTGTCCTCAGAGATTCCCGCTGCCATTACTCCAAAATATACCCTCAACTGTTGTCAAGGCAACACTCCACGTGCGTTGTATCAAAACGCCCGCAGTAAAGAGGGGCGGAGTGAGCGAAGCTCATTATCATTTAAAGGCATATGCACTGAAACTGCGTGCTGAAAACAGAGCTGTTTTTGACCAGGTAAAATTAGTGTTTTCTTAAAATACTAATGAGAATTTTTAATAAAAGTATATTACAAAGTTTTCATTTAGACCCTAAACATTCATATTAACTTGTACAAAAATGGCATTATACCCCTTTAACATTATTTTGTGGAGAAATGAACATGGAAATGCTATAGGTACATGAAATGATTTGGTTAGGGCGATGTTGTGAACTTTGTGTAAAATATTAGTGAAGTTTAGTTAATAACATAACTGTTCAAAATGTTATCTCACTGTGGATAAAAACCTAATAAAAATAAGGACTTCTACTGCTTCTATGCACTTCAATTCCCACTGAAATTCAAAGAAGTGAGAGTACCAAAGCTATTTACCGTGTGGTTATATGTAGGCCTTTAATTCAGATGTATGCTTATTGGTTTACCACTTTTAGATTAACTTAACCATAAATGTAATTAAAAGAGATGAAATCTGGACTATTTTTAAATGCTTGTCTCGGAAAAAAAATTTAACACTCTTTATTTACATTCGACACACCATACACTGTGCATAAAATAAGTGAATTTGAAGAACACACCAGATGGCAGAGATGTTGGACGTTTCCTCATTCATTATCCAGCATTTACAAACACTAATCAAATATTCCATATTCCGTGTGTGTGTGTGTGTGTGTGTGTGTGTGTGTGTGTGTGTGTGTGTGTGTGTGAGAGAGAGAGAGAGAGAGAGAGAGAGAGAGAGAGAGAGAGAGAGAGAGAGAGAGAGAGAGAGAGAGAGAGAGAGAGAGAGAGAGAGAGAGAGAGAGAGAGAGAGAGAGAGAGAGAGAGAGAGAGAGAGAGAGAGAGAGAGAGAGAGAGAGACAAAGAAAAGCGGAAGGAGCGACAAAAGTAAACAAAATCAATCATGTTGCATATGCAAAGCAGGGATCAAATTATCACATAGCCTACCTTAACAACACTGCTGTCTCTGAGTAATATATAATATATTACTGTCTCTATATGTTTGGAATATATTATATATTCCATCCATAACTTCACAAATCGGGTTTGACCAATAAATGACATTCAATAAATCAATGGACTATGTTGATAAAAATGCAAATTCACCTGCCGCAGACAACCTGCGTGTAACATGCATTACTTTAAGGTACGCTACCGTAAAATCGTGAGATGTTCAGAGGTTGCATACGATGCTGCTACACACTGCAACATTTACAGCACCATAATATAGACTGTGTCTGATTTACATTTAGTTCAGGCCTGTGAAGCACAAAATCAAATGGTACAAAACATCATTATAATTCCAGAACAATGAAAGTGTAGTGGAAGTTGATTTCGCCTGCTGCGAACTCACATCCTCATTGAATTATCTGCTGGTGTGTTATGATGATGCTGTGTGGATGGGGAAAACTCATCTGGCATATTTACTGCTGCTGTGTAATTTTATTTATAGGGCATACTATGTGTTCTGATAGGAGGCAGCCATCTGGTGGTGAAGCTCTTCACTGCATACTAAATAATAGCACTTGGTAAGTGATAGGCCTACAAAAATAGGCCTATGTGTGTTCAGTGTTGGCAGATGTTTCTTTTAAAACTCAGATATAATGGCTTGACTAGACGTTTTCTTACCTGTGTAGGTAGACATGTTTCTTATTGAACCAGGAACATTTGTGCTGGCTTATACATGATTTGGGATGGGACTAATCAAAAGGCTGAGAACCCGGATTTGCTACATGCTATTGCTTTGCTACTGAGTGGTTTAAGTTTGTATTGGATTTATGAGTAGTGTGGTTAACATTACACAAAGAGATTTTCACATTTTGTTCTACAACATGAGTTTAACGCCAACAAATGAGAATTTTGATTTGTGTGGATCTTAAGTAAGCTGCTAATAATTTGTTATATAAAGACTACATCATACAGCCGTAGTCGTACATAGCAACTTGTTAACAATGTTATCATATTTGAGGTACGATTGTTTATGAGAATGCGAAAGCCTAAAAGCTAGAGGAAATTTGGTGTAGGATTTACTTTGAAACAAATTTCACTCAGAAATTGCTTGAACATTTCAAAAAGCAAGTTACACACTGAATTAAACATAAAATATATCTCCAATGGGAATGAAAAATTTCATCACTGCGCAATAACAGACAGAAATGCATGCTTTAGAGACGCCTGAAATAGAAGAAATTTGTCAAGGAATGATGCTGTAAAATGTGGCTTGGGCATTATGAAAGGTTTTGTTGCATTATTCAGGCAAAAGCTTACAGCATAACAAGGTCTTCAAAGCTTTTATAGCTGTAAATCTTAAGATCTTTTTGTGCACTATTAAATATATTGCTGCTAAACAGATGTTGCATTGTTATTGCAGCATTGTGCAATGCTCAAGGGTTGTGTTTACATATCAGGCTCACAGCGCCTTTGATATTTTTGTAATTTTTGACCTACAAAGCAAAGGCTTCACATCACGCCCAAGAGGAACGCAAACATCAGAGTGCAGTCTTTGTAGTTGACTGTCTTGTCTGACAAATTCCCTTCTGAGCAACAAATTCCTGACAGAGATTCATTTATTGTTGATTTATATCACTACTAAAACCTCATTAGCAATGATCTCTCTCTCTCCCCCCCCCCCCCTCCCCCTCCCTCCCTCCTTCCCTCCCTCCTCTTCTTTTGTCCTTGTGGACATTGTTGTTTTTAGAATTTAAACTAAAACTTAAACCCAGAAGGGCTTTCTTTATTTTAAAAGCATTATACACTTTTGTTAAAACATTTGGGTTGAGTAATAAAAAAAACAAAGAAATTAATACATTTATTCAGCAAGGACACATTAAATTGGTCCAAAGTGACAGTAAAGGCATCTAAAATGATACATGTGTTCTACTTTCTATTCATCAAATAATCCTGCAAAAAATATTAAGACAAACTGTTTTCAACATTGATAATAATAAGAAATGTTTGTTAAGCACCAAATTATATTAGAATGATTTCTGAAGGATCATCCAGTGAAGACTGGAGTAATGATGCTGAAAATTCAGCCTTGAAATCACAGGAATTAATGGAATTTAAAATATATTCAAATAGAAAACAGTTCTTTTAAATTGAAATAATATTTCACAATATTACTGGGTTACACTTTATTTTAAGGTGTCATTGTAAAAGTGTGATTATATATTTAAGTAATAAGTAATCAACATGTACTTACTAAAGGGTTACTTACTTACTTAGGGTAGCATTAGGTTTTGGTTGAGGGTTAATTGCATGGTATTATGCATAATTAACTGTTATTAATTTACTATGGTAAGTACATGTAACAAGGGCACTGTAAAATAAAGTGTGTAACCTATTACTGTATTTACTATATTTTTTGATCTAGTAAATTCAGACTTGGTGAGCATAAGAAACATCTTTCAAAAAAAATAAAAAACCATAACCATTTAGCATGGTGTTCTCCCTGCTGTCTGCCACGCTTTACGTAGAGTAACCTGTATGTGGGGTGTCCACAAACGTTTGGCCATGTAGTGTATTTTAATGGTTCAATAATTGATAATAAGGCCCTTATAGGAGCGGGAGTCACATCAAGCACAGAGATATTAATAAAAGAGTCCTCAACGTGATGCTTATAATTGGTGTCAAGGAACTCCTCATACAGACACTGCACAAACTCTACTACATAATTCTGAGTAAAACTTTGTTTTAGTATGATAAAGTTGTCAATCTGGCAGAAACAAAGTTGTGTTGCGTTGATTTGGCAAGGTGTGTTGAGTGCAGCTTTTTACAAAAGATAAAGAGTTCATGTCGGGCCTAACACAATAGCTATTCTTTTACTGTGAAGTAACAAACATATCTGATTACAGCAAGAGAACAGGTTATTGTCGTCACCTTATTCCTCGACTGAATTTACCATTAATAATTTAAAAACTGACACCTTTGTTGGCAATGATATTGTTTCTGACACTGTTCTCAGCAGCCTTTGGACTAATAGGCTACAGTATGATAGAAGCTGTCAGTGCTACTGGATCCTGAAATAGATTCTCATCTAGTCTGGTTTTCTTCTTGGAAAAAAATATCTCCAGATTTCTAACCTCGCTAGATAAACGTAAATCGATCTAATAATGGCGAATGAGAAGATGCTTCCAGCCCAAGAGGCTGCCAAAATCTACCACACCAATTATGTGAGAAATGCCAGAGCCATCGGCGTCCTGTGGGCTGTTTTCACCTTATGCTTCGCCATCATTACTGTGGTGGTCTTCATTCAGCCCTATTGGATTGGTGACAGTGTTAACACCCCGCAGGCTGGATACTTTGGGCTTTTTCACTACTGTATTGGCAACCCCATCACCTCCGAATTGGTCTGTAAAGGAAGCGTGTTTGATTTTGCCTCGATCCCCTCTGGGGCTTTCAGGACTGCTATGTTTTTTGTTGGCACCTCAATGCTCCTTATCGTAGGCACCATCGTGTGCTTGGGTCTTTTCTTCTTCTGCAACTCCGCAAGTGTGTACAAGATATGCGCATGGATGCAAACATCTTCAGGTGGGCTAATAGTTTTCCAGTTGGACTCGCTAATAAGTATAAATACAGTAATGCTGCTTTAAAAATGCTTTAAACAAAAAAAAAGATGACATAATGTTTATTAATAGATTTATTTAGGGTAGCCATATTCCCTGTGAGGGATAGATGCAAAGTCATTCAATGACGTGTACTGTCTTAAAGGGATAGTTCACCCAAAAATGAAAATTCTGTCATCATGTACTCACCTGCTTGAAGGTGAGAGTATATATATTTATATAAAGCCTAACCAATTCTCTCACAACGTCATTTCATAGCGTAAAATTAAATATTGCGACTAACCTAATTAATCAGATCACAATTTTTCTATAAAAAGTAGGCCTATATAGGAAGGAGTTTAATTTTTTTTTTTACCTTTGCACTTGATGCTGTAGCTGTGCTGATGGTGATGGGTTGTATGATTTATCCGGACGGTTGGGATGCTCCGGAGGTAAAGCGAATGTGTGGCGAGCGGACGGGCAAGTACACACTGGGAAACTGCACCATTCGCTGGGCTTATATTCTAGGCATTATCAGCATCCTGGACTCAGGGTTACTGGCACTGCTTGCTTTCACTCTGGGCAACCGGCAAGACAAACTGCTGCCGGACGACTTCGAGGTGGAGGGAGCAAACAACGGATGAGGTAAGAGAAGGAATGATTAATCAATTAGGAATTGATATTTTAAAATTATTTACTAAATATTTATTCTCGACTGTATTTAGGATGCAATCTGTAGAAATACAATACAGTTTTAGTAATGATGATGTTTCCATTTGTTTGTAGGTAAAAAACCTAAACCCAACAGGAGATCTGCAGTGGACATGGAACTAGGCTACATTCGTACTAAAGCAAAACAAAATCATACAATCTTATTAACTTGAAAAGAAACAGTTTCAATTAAATTCAAATGTATGTATGTGCATAGCACCTTTCATAATAAATATTGTTCTAAAGCAGCGTTGCAATTTTTTCAACCCACGTTTCCACTTTAAACTGTTATAAATCTTGGATACTTTGGGGCACAGACTTAAGTTTGGTCTGTAGACTGTTTTTAAAGGAGACACATATTGTATATTATTGTAGAAAAAATATGAAAGTGAAATTTAAAAAAAAGGTTATAGAAGTTTAGGTTTATGAAAATGTAAAAATATAATTCTTTTTATTTTATATAAAATATATATTTTACAAAACATGTTTTACTTTAAAACTGCAAGAACATCAAAGCCTGAACAAGTGAACAAGTTATATGTTCCTAATTTTAGGTTGATATTTCAAAAATAAATATAAATAAAACTTTTCCACTAGATGACAACCATTCGACTCCATTGGTGAGCACCTTTTTTTTTTTTTTTTTTTTTTTTTTTACTTGGATGTTGTCCTTTGAACTCTTGGCATTAAAGCAAACTGAGGTTTCTACCCATATTTCATTATTTTTCATGCCTAACTGAACGCTATTGAGTCTGAAAATGTCCGTGGTGTAAAGTTTTTTTTTTTTTTTTTTTGTAAAGTAATAAATTACTGTTCCTGATCACCAAATATGACACCAAATATGAAAACTAGATCGTGCTTTAAAATGATATAGTTATAGACGCATGCTGCATGCAGTTTTGTTTATTAAATGCTAGAGCGCCAAATTTTACAGAATGTACCTTTAACAAAATCTACACATTTTAGCGATAGCTGTAAATATGATCACAATAAAGTAATTTTTTTCCAGTCTTTAGAGAGCAGAATGAAAAGGTTATCAAGTAAAAATGTCTGAAAAGTACCATTTTCCTTAACCCCCAGCATCCCAGATTGAAAAATCCTGGTTTATATGATGTATTAAATGTTCTAAAAAAATCAAGCACGTGCATTTGTTTTTTTCCAGCACTCTTTTCCTTTTCCTTTTTTATTGTTTTGCACAAATATCCACCCAAAAGGTTGGTGACAATTACAGTGAAAGGTAACCTGCATTTTATAACATTTATATAACCTCCATTTTATAGCATTTAATTTTTTTGAGAACAGCAAGACAGACAAACAGGTACACCCATCTTCCAAATGCTTTATTAAAACACTTCTATCCAGCTAAATAACCTTAGCTTAGATGCAATAGTAGGATTTTCTTTTTAAAAACTGTACATGGCTGTAATATACAGATCAAGGCAAACTCTTTGGTACACATATATACAGACACACACGCATGCACATGCGCGCACACATAAACACATACGTACAACACACACTCAGACAATAAATGTTTCTTCTTTTTTTCCCCCCACAAATATAATTTTTCGGTGGCCCTTTGACAGTTACTCACTTTATGTGAAAGCTTCTTGTACACAAAATGTATTGACCATGAGTGAGAAGACTTCAGCTCTTAAAAATCTAATCTGAGACAGACGAGATCAAAACCTACTGAACTAATAAACACACAAAAGACACTTGTATAGTTGAGAGATAAACACAGAAGTGTGGCGAGTCTTGACGCAGGACAGAACATCTTAATTTATACTCTACAGTCAAAAAGGTAAACCAAATAATTCCCTTTCCAGAAACCACTTTTTCTTTTTCTTTTTTCACTACAAGTAACAAAATGATCTCTTGTGCCTCGCACTGCAGTCCGAGCTGTCAGCACTCTGGAGGAGTAAGCACGGCAAAAAAACAGACCCTTATCTTAATATTTTATAACTTAAAACTGAGAATTCCCCAGGTACCTAAACAGGCATTTCCTAGGTCTACATTTCATCCTTTGCCAAGATAAAAGGGAAGGTAGAAAGATCACAGCAGGTGTGACCCTCACACAAAATATCTTAAGTCTGAAGGAGTAGGAAAAAAAACAGCTAGAACAAAAACAGACAGGTTTACTATTCCTCTGGCGAACCCAGCAAAAGAAATCACTCAGATTAACCGAAGAAAAATAAGTATGCCGATATGCTCTATAAACTGGAAAGTGATCTGTTGCAGTCTCTGGAGAGTGCCTGGAGTATGTGCAGTGAGGTGAAGAGGCCACTAGAGGGCAAGCCAAGCGTGTCGCAGACAGTCGGCAGCAGTGGCTCTTTTCTCTGGCAGGAGCTCCAGCATAGGAAGCAGGAAATCAGCGAAGGTCTCGGCCTCCTCACGAGACCACTCGTATTTATCCATCAGAACCTCCAGCAAACCCCACGGCTTCAGTTTAGTGATGTGCTTCAGGTCACCTACAGAAAGCACACAATTAAGATTCCAAGCTTCCCATTCCATGCATTTACCCCTATATATTTTTACATCTTTATAATGTTTGTTTTTTAATGTCTCGTAACGTTTACCATTAATAAACATGTTGCCCCATAAAGCCCCATTTAATCATCATTAAACCATTTTAAATTGATAATGTGATGCACTTCAAAGTGAAAATATATTCAACAAGAATGAATGTTCAAAGTAGGTTACATTAGGAGGCAGAGCTAGTTAATACATTTTCATTGCAAATATTTTTTTGGAATATTGTGCACCGATGATTTGCACAAAAAAAGAACAGGAATGTGCATTAAATTCAAACTTCGATTACATGCTGTCTGTAAAATGTATCTAAATCCAAATACACACACACACAAAAATAATTCATGAAGCTTTGTTTTAGAAAGAGATACACTACTGTTGAAAAGTCTGGGGTCACTAAGATCTTTTTTATATTTTTTATTTAGCAAGGACCATTTTAAATAGAAATCTTTTGACCAATTTAATTTATGTTCTCTTGAACTTTTTATTCATCCAAAAATCAGGAAAATCAGGAAATGTATAATGGTTTCCAAAAAATAGAATCAAATATACGTTTTCAGAATTGATAAAAAAAAATCTTGAGCACCAAATCAGCATATTAGAATGATTTCTAGAGGATCATGTAACATGTAATGGATGCTGAAAATTCACAAGATTAAATTACATTTAAAAAAAATTTATAAATAAAAATACATTTCTTTTTAATTGTAATATTTCATAATGTTACTGATTATACTGAATTTTAATCAAATAAAATGCAGCCTTGGTGAGCATAAGAGAAAATATATATATATATATATATATATATATATATATATATATATATATATATATATTTTAAAACAAAAAATCACTGACCCCAAACCTTTGAACAGTAGCGTACATTACATACACATTTTAGTTTGCAATTCAACTTAATAATCTGAAGTGAAAGCATCATGACCAGATATAAAAGTTATTCATAATGACCGTGTTACCTTTCTTGCCGAAAAACTCCTTGGAATATTTTCCGGTCAATACGAGTTTGCGTGGGACAGCCCCCAGCAGTTCAATGATCAAAGCAATGTGGTCTACCATCACACACAGAGTGTGTCGAGCAGGGAGGGGGGTGGTGAGGTGGAGGGGAGGACAAAACAATGGACAACTTGATCAGACAGTGTTAATACAGTCATTCACCCATCCTGAGAGAAGGGAGACGAAAGGGAAGGCAAGGAGCCATGTCCTGACAGCACAGATAGCGGTCACACACTGAAGAACTTCCAGATTAAAGATTGTAAGAAGAATTGGACTTGTGTGTTTTTTGAGCTTCGGCTGCCTCTGGTAGAGCTTCAAGCGAAGTCATGCCACACTTCTGCGGCTTTGAAGCTATAACAGTTCGTCTGTTGTGCTGAGGGCCCACTTCTAAGAAGAGCCTCATTGAGAACTACTGGACTACTGTGCCGAGGAAGATATTTAGCCAAACCTTCAGAAAACTAGGTGTGACACAAGGCTGTGCTGTAAATGAAGCTGCTGGAATCTCCTCTCTTCCCTTCAAACCTCTCCCTCAGGGTAGGGCTCTACCTGACTGACAGGCGTACCTTTCCGGCTGAAATATTCCTGTGAAAATTTCCCGCTCAGAGCATAGTGACGGGGGATATGCCCCAAAAGCTCAATAATCAGAGCAAGGTGGTCTGAGAGAGAGGGAAGACAGAGACAGAAAGAGAACATGAACATGGAATGGGGACAAGCAGGAAAAACATGGTCAGGATCCAAAAAAAGAAAAAGGATAAACTCAAGGCAAATGACAGTGGGTCAGAATGACAGATTACAAGCTAAACAGGGTGTCTAACATAAGTGTCTCCAACTAGAATATAAATATTTGTTACATGGCTCTCTGGAATACTTAATTCTGATGGGATTTTGGCATCAAATATTTTTGCAATATGAACACTAAACTTCAGACACACTCTTCCTAAAGGGGATTTTAAATATTAAAATGCAGGTCAATGCCTATAAGCCAATAATTATTTACATGTTAAGCTAAATAAATATAGATAAATGGTTCATAATAAAAATTCTACACTATTTTGTCAAAATAAAATATAAAACAAAATGTTAAGCATCACAACGTTATAGAGTATGGATTGATATCAATTGATATTTGCTTAAGGTTATATTTAAATATTATTATTACTGTTTTTAATTATTATTATTACAAGATAATGGCTCATTAATAAATTCTTGATAAATGCTCATCAGGTTAATCTAAATGTAAAAATAGGATAAATATGTATCCACAATAAAAAAATACAACTTATTAGAGAAACTGTTTATGCATATATATATATATTGGTAATTGGACAATATATAAATCCAATGCGAGCCTACTCATCTAAAAGAAAATATAAATATATATATATATTAATATAAATGTATAAAAGCTCTGAAAACATTACATTTTCATAAAACAACTTAGAAATATGGCCATTTTAACTGATATGATCACAGTTATAGCCACAGAGAAGGGCTGCTCAATAATCATTTTGGTTAATACTCAGGTCATAATTATTTAATTGACTTTGCATTTATTACTTTTTTTTTGTTAAACTTGTCTTTTTAACAGTGGACTTCCTTAAACTTTAAACATAATTCAAATGAAAAACAAAATGTACATGAATTTAAAAAAAAAAAAATTGGGGAAATGGGGGCACTGCTTTATAACACGACAAACC